CAAGTCATCTTACATTCCAAGCCAAACATGAACAAGTTAAGATTCCCTCAAGACTCTAATTCACTGCCCATTATCGGATTGAGGTAGACCCATCGCAAGACTCCATGGTCATATTTTCTTAGAGTTTTTTTGTTTTGACAAATACGTTTTCATTTTTACATGACGTTAAATATTTTATGCAAATATACCCGCTGTTACCCTGCCTCACAATTGTTGTTCGATTCGCTTTGGTCTCAGTGAGGGGTATTTGTACGTATACTAAAGGAAATTGTAAAAAAGGCTGATGAAAATGTCAAATTGTTCCCATCAGGTAGACGGTCTCTGCTCCAACGAAACAGGTGTAATATAGATTCAATCGCTGTGAAATAGCGCCACCATCGTGATAGCTGAAGAACAAAGTCTCGTTGATTTTCAAGTATCCCGTCTTTTCTCTGTAGTCTTGTAATAACCAACTTTTCTGGTACTGAAAATACATTGGCAAAATATTAAATTCAGTTCAATTCGTTTCTTTCAATTCCAGCAAAGACATTATAAATACAAAGGTAAATACATGAAATATATACATACACTGCGTGATGTCATGCAATAGGAACTTAAAACCTTTCAATACTCATTATGACCCACACTTTTTTTAAATTAAGGTGATAACGGGAGAGAAAAGCAGGATATTATTTTATTCACCCCAAAAGTGTGCATCTTTTTTTGTTTTCTGTTTTCTATAATTTTGGTGGTTTTATAAAATGTGAAGTTAAAAATACTAATAGTCAGGTTTGTACCACTTAATACTAAGTTTCTAAGCGAGACACATTTTAGTTATCATTACACCGGTCATTGGATTGAATTGTAGAGTATCATAGACGCATATTTTACAAGCACACACGTCCTGCCAATCCAACCACGCTAACGTTCACATCATACCGGTTACCCATACCTTGGTGGAGAGTGGCTAATGTAGATTGATGTTTTGCCAAAGGACATTGCGTGGCGGGACTCGAACCGCCAACCATGTGATTCACAGTCCAGTGATGTAACCACGAGACCTCGACATAATAAATGACATCGACGTTATTATGGAATGTCGATATAAGTATAATGTGAGTCTCCTCTGATACAACGAACTTCACAACGATGGGAAAATAACCTGGATGAACAAATATTGACTCTTCTATACACTCTACGTGCCTTCTGTTAGGGGGATGGGTAAATAAAGACAACGGGAAAACATAGGAGAGAGAGAAAGAGAAGGTGTGAGAGGGAGGGATTGAGAGAATGAGTGAGAGAGAGAGAGAGAGAGAGAGGGAGAGAGAGAGATGGAGGGAGATATATATCATTTTTATAATTTTGTTCTCATTTGCTATGTTTTCTTTATGTATATATATAGGCCCATATATGTTTTCGAATGCTTTTTTAAAAATATTATGATTCTATGTTTGATGTAAACTTGCAATTTTAGTCTTTGGACTTTTTGACAAGTCTTGAACAAAACCTCATTTGAATTGAATTGAATTGAATATATATATATATATATATATATATATATTATAGAGAGAGAGAGAGAGAGAGAGAGAGAGAGGGTGAAATGTGAGGAAAGGGGGCCATGCGGGCTCCGTTAGAGCTCCGTTCGGCCTCCGTTTGGGCTCCGTAGGGGCTCCATGGTCCCTGTGAAAGATTTCAGATTACTATAATAAACCAGACATTATGATATGTAAATAAATGTGTACACTCCCCGTAACCTCCAGAAATTGCCCGCAGAAAAAATGGAAGTAAAGGTATATATTGTGCCGTTTCGCACGTAGCTTTGCTTTGTTTACTGAATGATACTGTTAATGATTATAACGATTGTAAAGTTTATCAGATATTCAAACGATGCCATTCTGCATCGACTCAATAGCACGTTCACCATCACTTCATAGCTATATATAATTCTTATTACACTTACAGATAATGCAACAATTAAAAAGCAATGAAGCAGATCAAGAGTCCTCATTCGCAGTTGAACATACCCCATAAATGATTGTTTATTTTAGACGTGTATGAGTTTATGTCAAGAGTTTTAGAAGGAAGAATTGGTTTTGATACCGAGTCATTTACTGGTCAAAGAGGAATACATTTACGTGATGGGGGTAGTTATGCCAACATCCTTATTCGTTGGTTTCTTATCAATTGAGCTTTCATTATGTACATGTATGTATATAACCACGAAGTAATTGACTGTACGTTAATTTTGATTACAGGCATAGTTCATTTAATATACATTTGTCTAGGTATATAGCTCACGGTTCGACCCCAGTTTGTTAACCTGTGTGCAAGGGGCTTTTCAATAAATATATAGTACCCGAGAGCTAGTAATAATGAAATCGGAATGAGATTATAATGAACTCATAATATTTCACTTGAAGTGTGAGATACATGTGCCTGATATTTAGATGTTTCGTCCGAATCAATTTTTTCAGTAAGAGCCGAAGCGCGCATCATTGTCATCTTTATCAATCTGAGCACATAGAGCTGTTCGATTGCTATGACACAGACCGGTTGCATGAGGGGATCTTGGCCCAAGACGCTAAATCATTCTTCTCCTCTTCTCTATAAAAGAGGACAAAGCTTCAAGCTTTTAGAATTGTTAGTATTTAACTACTTAAAAATTGACGGAAACTTCTTCTGCATCATGAAAACTTTAGATGGGAGTTGAGGTGCCTGGGATAACAGCCACGAAAATAATCCCAATGCATTTAGTATTTACAGATATACAGATATAAGTCTCTTATTCAAATGTATTATCATTGAATGTATACGGCTCATTTCAGTGAGTAAATGAACATTATTGAAATGATGCATTGACCTTTGGTCTACTTATTCATAATAATACATGGTTAAAGTGCATTCGGAAATGATCATACCAAAAGATAAGTGAACAAATATATTATTCATCGGTGAGTATATATTTGAATTCGAGGCGGACATAGTTTGGTTAGGAATATCAACGTGCATGATTGTAGATACTGATCGGGAGTCCATGGGGAGGGAAGGGGGGGGGGAGGGAGGTGAGTTGCCCATCAATGATTTTAGAATTAAGTACATGTATGTAGTATGCATCTGCAGAGTGTGCCCCCGATGTAATGTCTCCCCCTCCCCACGACTTCCATAATTTGGATCAACATCTCTTTAATACAAACATAAGTCCCATGAGGAAAATGAGAGATAGATATAGATAGAAAGATAGGTAGGTAGATAGAGAGAGAGAGAGAGAGAGAGAGAGAGAGAGAGAGAGAGAGAGAGGAAAAAAAGATTCCGCCGGAGGGGGAATACTTTATCTGATTTTTATGAAATTAATATGGGACGTCATTGTTCAAGGACCCCTCAAAAATTTCCCTCTCTTTTCCCTTTCATTCTGATACAAATAGGACTATTACTCTCTTTCAGAAGCAATTTGTAAAAGGACTGGTGAATGTATGAGATTCAATGCAATGACCTTGTACCAGGTATCAGCCTCGTTGGTGCACGTCCAATATTGTTATTTTCTGTTGATCCACCCCTGATTCTCTGCATTGAACGAACAAGAGGAGAAGTTTCTGACACAGATCTCTTCTTTTATCAGCCCCTTTGTCGCAGAACAAAACCGATCCGATAGGTGGGGTATTGATATCATGACGGGATGATATGCCCCTCTGTTTGGGTTAAAGACTCGAAGATAATGAAAATATAGAAGCAAATATTTAAATTTGGAGTAGTGTGGTTTGTTGGTGCACGTTGGTCGGTGATGGATGGATGGAGAAACATAAGAAGAACAAACACGCACCTATAGATGTCACGTGACCTCAAGTGTGATCGTGATATTGTACTTTGGTACTCTTTTGTAGACTTTCGAATCAAAATCGTTGACAGTCTAAGATCATACTCAAACTGGAATAGACGCAACAATGGCAGAGTCTGATAACGAGTAAGCAATCACTTTACAGATTTGTATCTCTGTATTATATTTTATATTTTATTACAATAAATGTATAGTATGGTTACACTTGAAGTGTAAATGCAGAAAAAGCTCTGGTGTTTTATGAAGAAAAAAGTGAGAAACTTTGAAAATGACCATCAAATATTGCTGAATAGCCATATCATTATCGAATTCAGATCAGGCTGTGTTACTGAAAGTGTTCGAGTTTGCTGCATATTCTGCATTACCCTAGTTCATATAGATAGCGGTCCATCCACGAGTGATGAGCGGGCCGCCAATATATCAGTGGTTACGTTCTTTCTTTGCTACAACGGAAGGAGATTAAGAAAATACATCATCAACGACTATCGGTATGAATAAGATCCTAACCCTCACTCGCTTGCTTTGCTCCCTCGTAAATAACCTATCCTTATGAGCTTTTATGATTTGAAAGAGAACATCGATTATATCAAACGAGGAACATGTAAGGGGAAAAGTCATTCATGTGGACGTCTTAAGCGAGGGGAAAGGAATTCTGATATTTGAAAATGTACCACCGGCAATAGACGGCCCGTGTACGTGTAATACTCCATGGCCCATTGCCAGAAAGATTATCTGGCCCGTCGGAAAATTAATTAGGAACCCGTGGTGTAATAGCTCCGCAGTTTGAGTGATGAAAAGGTTGTAATTTTTGCGCTACCTGAATAAATGTTTTCATTGCGCACACGCAGCGCGAAAACCTAATCACGCGAAAATTATAGTTTTTGGTGAGAAAAGAAATGATTCGAACGGATGCGCTCGACTGCGACTACACCCTCGGTATGAAAGGAGATGTGTACATAGTCAAACGAATGGAGAAGTCGAGCTTTACTGGCGACTCCCAGAGTACATTGGTCAAATCCACGCAGTGTCGTAAAGGGTAGTTCAATCTGACGCGGTAGACCGCCGCGTTATTTTTATTTAACCGTAGGAAATAGGAAATATGAAGCGTATACCTTATCAAAAAAAAAAGGGGGCATATAGACAATCACGTCATTTTGTAAACTGCTTGTGTATCTTGTTGATTGTGTTCAGGGACTCGAGAACACTTCGATTATTGTATGACTGAATGTAAGGTTACAATCTCCACACAAGACAAAAAGAAACAATATACAAGCTGTTATATATAACACAAAGTACAAGGGTAGGATTTCTCTACTTGAAGCTATTGATAAAATAAATGTTCCTCCACGCAATCCAATAATAGACTTGTTTTAAAAAAAAAAATACAAATATCGTCTATTCAGAGCCAGAATAAGGGCGTTAACTCTGTATCAAAGTATACAAGCCAATGCCCTATTGGATCCAAACAGAACGAATTATGTTTATTGATATGCTCACTGTTTATGATGTCGCCGAGCAATTCAACTCGTCATCATGATATCATGTATTGCTATGTCGGGAAATCATCAAGGAAGCTGTACATCATTTTTTTTCAAAGAACATACTCCTTTCCAAATGAATCAGCTGGTTATTGACATGCTGGTTATGAATGAGTCAGCATTTCCTTAATTTGAACTATGCTGAACATTAATTACGATAATTAAGTTATTATTTTGTATTATGTTTCATTTTAAAAATATAATTTCAGTATTGTTTCTTTAATTTTGACTTTTTGACCCGTTTCACAGAGCCTTCTTTCAATGACAAAAGACAAATATCACTGACAAATCTGCTGATAACTAATCAGAAGCAAGAATTTTAGTAGCTTATAACAAAAACTGTCATTTGTCACTGATGACAAGTTTTGTGAAACGGGGCCCTGTTATTCGTTATTGTTTGTATCATGGTAATTGAATTCACAACCTTCCCTCTCATCTCATTCTCGTCCACAGTATACCTGGTGGGAATATCTTCAAGCAAGCATGGGTGACCATTACATCATTTTTCGGCAGCTTCTTATCCAGTGGTGAGTTTAACAGTATCTAAATCAAAGTCCCTGAACGATTCTTCTAGAACCTTTATGAATGATGTTAAGACTTTGTTAACTTTATACACTTGGGCCTTAATAATTGTCTTATGAAGAATTTCGATTGATTCAAATTGATCGCAACCTAAATGTATTACAACTCTGTACTTTGGAGATAGTTGCTCATAAGTTTGCAATTGATCGGAGGACTTGTTTGCAAGACATGGCCCGGCAATTGAAAAGTTAACTTCTATCTTTCGTAGCCTAATAGAACGCAATGTTTTAAATTCTCCATCATTGCCACCATATAATACATAAGTTAAAGTTGACAGTGTGGGAATAGTGTTCACACTATTTCCAATGCAAAGTGACGGCAAAAACACACATAATTCATTCAAAGTGTATGAACACAGTTTATTGGATCAATTTCGTAGTGTTGATAAATTCTTTTTTTTAAATATTTTTTAAAATATTTTTTAAAATATTTTTGTTTTAATAGACAACCATGTTTACACTGTAGTCTAATTATGTGACATAGTATAACGCAGTGTAGTGGTAAGAAATTGACACAGTTTGTATGGTCACACAGTGCATATGATAAGTATGATATAGTGTCAACAGTTTTTTTTTCAGGTAACTTTATATTCACAGTGTAACGCATGGCCAAGACAGAAAGAATCATATATACATCATATAGTGTATTGGTTGGGGGGGGGGGGGGGGAATAATTTAGTCACGTGAATTAGAAAATTTCACTGAACCCTCACATTTACTGCAATCCTTTAGGGGCGAGGGTGGCTGTAATCTTAACTTTAGCAAGAAAGAAAATGTTCTTTTTAAGGTAAATCCTTCGAGTTAACGTGATAATAGATGTTAAGAACACACTACGCACTTTATAATAATCAACTGGTAAATTCACCAGTGCAAAAGGTCGGAGAGTTCTGTATTGTACAGTTTACGTGAGATAAACCTTGATTGTTGAATCTCCGACACCTAATATCATGGTAGCGATTATTATTGTTTTTTGACAAACGATATCGTATTTAGTTTGTAAAACTATAGCTAAGACGAAGTAATAGAAACCGCCTTCAAGTAGCCCTCTACTCTTTGAAACACCGCTAGGTAAACTAAGGTAAATATTAACCCGTTGACTACTGAATGTTATAGGTCCCATAGGCTTAACACAGGGACCACCAGGTTCCAGTAAGCAAAGGGTTAATACAAATATTATTCTTACCGTAGAGTGTTGTACTGGGTTTATCATAAAGATGGCAAAATGTAGAACGAACATGAACATAACAGAATATTGTAATAATAACAGGTTTACTCAGTTGTCTAAACTAGGAAAAGAGAAAGGAGAGACAGAGAGAGAGAGAGAATGACAATAAATATGGAAATAAATAATATAGATATAAATAAGTATGGAAAAGAGACAAAGTGAAGGAGAGAGAGAGAGAAGGAGAGAGATTGGGGGCAGAGAAAAGAGAGAGAGAGAAGGAGGAAAAGAGAGAGAGAGAGAGCAAGTGATTAATTGATCGATTCTGATAGAAGGAATTTTAAAACAACATGTTTTCTTCACAATAATAGTTTACGATAAAAAGGTAAATAACAAAGTTCACCAGTGTTTGTGTATCGGACACGACCTACTTTAGTACAGATGCTTGATAACAAAAATGGGGAAAAGGGGTAAAAGCCTAAACCTTAAGTCAATCGTTTGTCATCATTGTATGCATCTGGAAATACAATATATTTTTATCAGATTGATCACTTTCGCCGGCGTTTTACTTTCATCAGATTTTACAAGATATTGTGCGTTTAACTACGTAGTAGGTCCATGGTACAACCACGAGGATACCTCATTATTATTCAGCAGAGTATGGCAAATTATGCAAATTTTGCTTTGCTTTCTGGACCCGGGATTCTGGATGCCTCTATGTAGAAGTATTACACCGTGATTAGCGAGGGGTATAGGGATGGATGCAATATTATATCTATAGTTGATGCTCTTTCTCTGGTCTTATCTGAGTAAGCTATCGCTTAAAACACGATCTATATCTCAGCGAATAAACACATTAACAAGGCCTGTGATATACCAACACCCTGGTCTTCTGGTCAACAACAGCACTGTAGTATTACCCTCAGTCGTTTTGGAATCCACTATCTAACTCTATCACAGAAGTGCGACCAGTGGCTCAGATATGAGCTCTGTTTTGTGTTAGTATGGATACAATTATTAATAACCATGGTAAGAATATTGATTTCTCTATTTATTAGCTGTCGTTTCGTTTGAGCTGTTTTTAAAGAGGCAATCATCGGATTGTATTGATACATTTAGATGTTATTGTACGTATCAGTCAAATGCCGCATGGGGCTTCTAAGCATTGTGTTTTTTGTTAATCAAAGTTCTTTATGTCGTGTTTTTCCCCGTTCAAATGTGGACGTTCATTTTCCTTTATTCTCGTTCCAGATTATATGACAGATTGAAGCCATTCATTCAGTTCTTTTCACTAGCATATTCATATCTACGTCGCCGTGGTTGTATTTGATTTCAGATCATTTTATTAAATTCGAAGTTATGCCTCGTTAACACTTGCCTGCATTTTGGTCCCGCACTGCCCCGCTCTGTGGCGTGCCAATGCGTGCCAATTAGTGGCACGCAGGGTCACGTCTACTTTACGAATAGTTCACGCAATGTGTAACCACCAGGACACGCATTCGTAGACTATGCGCATGGCATGCTAAAACTGCGCGGGAAGTATGCGCAGCCCATGCGCAAATTGTGCGCAAATTAGTCGTTAACTAGTCGTAAACATGCGTGCCACTAGGCCATCGGACACGCAACGGCGCGCACTGGCACGGCTAGACAGCGCATAGGGTGCGCATAGTTCAAACCATAGTTCAAGTGTTCACGAACGTTGCCAAACAAAATTGTCGTGCCAAAATTTTGAACATTTTGAAAATTCTGTCACGCATTTCACGCACGGATTTCACGCATCCGCCCGCATCCTCCCGCGTCCTCCCACAAGCTACCACGAATACTTCCCGCATTGGCGCGCAAGAGTATGTGTCTATACGCAAACTATGCGCAAACCAAAATGCGGGCAAGTGTCACCGGGGCATTAGATCCACTCATGCAGAAGGGCTCTATCGTGATCTAGACGTTGTCGTTCAGTGTTTCTGTATTGACGAATTCCCTCAATTCTCATATTTACCTGTAATAAAAAAACGAATGAGCCGTGGAGAGCTCTGCATTTTTAACCAAAACTTTAGATAATTTTCGTTTCATTGAATGGATTCGAAGTATCTCTTCTAGTAACAATTTATAAAGAGGAAGGCTGCTATCCTTTGATACGATTTTGAGTGAAAAAAGTGAAGGGCTTATTTTTGTTTGGTTGATACTGACCCTGTACAGAGTTCAAGTAAATTTGGTCATTAAAAAAATCTGACGTTGCTGTTTTAATTCTTGCTTTTTAAGTGCGTTTAAGAAACGAATCTAGGCCCGAAAGTAATGCCTCAATCGCCTACTCATTTATATCACTGAAGAGAAATACTTGATAACTTTTTTCTACTCAAGAAAAAAAGCTTCACCATTTTCCAAATTATTTTATTGTTCTTCAGGGTGTAGTGCTTTGGGCTTTATATTAATCCCATGTTTTTTGTTGGTAAGTTAGCTGAGCCTGAGATGTATATATATATATATGTGCTCCTTAAATCCATAACCAGGCAAATTGTAATACTTCGGGTATTGAATTAGCCTATAGACGTTTAGAAAAATGATGGTAGGAAATACAGTTTGCGGGTATTTGTTTAAAGTTATATGACTGGTGAAATGATGAATAAAATCGTCATAATAAAAAGAGTATACCTGAATAATCAATTTTATCTTTGATTATATTGATTTCATAGTCGCACCTTGTCTAGTAGTTTAACTACTATCATAAACCAAAAATATAATGTATTGTATGTAAAAAGTGAAGCAATAAAGACAAAAAATGACGTACAAATATTATCAGATAAATTCTGAATCAGTAACAGACATTGAAAACCACCATATAAAGGACTTACCAATTTCAAAGCATGTTTACAAAGGGTAGCGTGTTTACACTTCACACCACCTGTGCAAAGTTTGATAGATTCTAGAACTACAAATCAATATTTGTAGTTCTAGAATGTAAACTATGAACTCGACGTTATGTGTCAATATCCAAATTTAAAAACCATTATATATTAATTTTGTCTCTTATTCATCTCATTCACAAAGATACTAAGGAAATAGATCAGGTGATTGTCATTTGTTGTATTTCGATCATACATATTTTATCTCGAATTTTATCTACGAGTCAATGTAATCAATCAATCAGTCAGTGAATCAATCAATCTATCTATCATTCAATTAATCTATCATTCAATCAATCAATATATGTCAATCAATCAATCTATCATTCAATCAATCTATCAATAAATCAATCTATCAATCTATCTATCAATCAATCAATCAATCAATCTATCAATCAATCAATCTATCTATCAATCAATCAATCTATCTATCAATCAATCAATCTATCAATCATTCAATCAATCTATCAATAAATCAATCTATCAATCTATCAATCAATCAATCAATCAATCTATCTATCAATCTATCTATCAATCAATCAATCTATCAATCAATCAATCTATCAATCAATCTATCTATCTATCAATCAATCAATCTATCTATCAATCAATCTATCTATCAATCAATCTATCAATCAATCAATTAATCAATCTATCTATCAATCAATCAATTTATCAATCAATCAATCTATCAATCAATCAATCTAGTCAATCAATAAATCTATCATTCAATCAATCGATCAAAATACGAATCATCAGAAACTTTCTTTGACCCGTGTTTATTGTTTGTTTTTCTCTGTAAGATGATGACGTCATTGATGAAACGACTGGGCTTACCAAGCAGCAGAAGGCTTTGATCAAGAAGTCATGGACCTATGTCCTGGAAGACAAACTCAGGATTGGGGTCATCATCTTCATCAAGTAAGTAACATGGGCTCTGTCATCAACTGATTGGCCAATCAAAAGTGGCCATTCAGCCAAGATTGTAGGCTGGTCATTAGTCTGACCCAAATGTCAATGATTTCAAGTCGTGCTTCTGATTATGAGCCTGTTTAGAAGCTTTCTTTTTTCATCAAGATCATGGTCGGACGCATGAACTATCAATAATATTTTTGACATTAATCAGAATTACCAGTAACATGACTACAATCATGATGATACAAGGGAATAACTATCTGGGATCTGTACTTGTTATCAGTAACAAGTTTACAATAACTGTTATAAGCTACTGAAATCATGACATTTTTTTGGCTAAGAGTAACTTTGTCATAGAAATTTTGAATTACAAAAAAAAATTGATAACAAGTTTTTATTTAAACAGAGCCCTGTTTGTAGGCTGATCGTGACTACGATTGAGTAGAGATGACTTTAATAGAATATGCTCAGCCTTAGGTTCTCCTCGAGTGGCTTTAAATCAATTTTATTAAAATCCATTACAATAAATTATTATCCGATACCGTCTGACTAATGTAATTATAATAAAACAGCTCCCTCAATCAACAATCTTCAACCCCAAACTACAACGGAAAAACCACAAAACATAGCAACAAAAACAAAAAAAATCATACATTAAGCTTTGAATTATAAAAGTAACAATACGCCCGGTTTTTGTTTTGTTGTTGCTTTGTCTCAATATTCAAGACTACCCTTGAATAGTCTTCCATATCTTATACTAATGGAAATTTACTTGGAAAATAAAATAATCTCTTTGAATTACAACCATTTAAACCCGAATACCCATCACAAAAACTCATACCTGATGAAGCTCACTCAATCATTGTGTTCTCACCCTTTATTCAGCGATAAAAGCTCATTGTGACAAAATAACAAAATTAGAAGTTTCAAAATCACGTTGAATCGAAGAAACTTGACCTTTATCCGGTCAATCAATATGAGTGATTATAACAACTGATGGATTCTTCCTTTTCAAAGTAAAGAGTTGTTTATATGTTGTGTAGAGCTAAAGTGTTCATTGTATTGGTCCTATGCTGTTTCCATAGGCGAACTAGTTGAAGCTATGACTAGAAGGTCAGATCGAAATGCATTTATTCGTCAGATATGCCCGCGATTTTTCCCGTGGTAATACTGATTACAATCATAAGAATGAGATGACTAAATCACTGATCATCGCTCTGTATTTCAGTCATTAGCAGTTATAGGTATAACACCCAAGGGAATAGAAAAAGCGTATACCACAATGAAAATGGAATTGTTAAAGGGCCGAGCCGCCTGCACCATGTACACGTCTATTGATCTCCCGTCCATAATCACGATCTCCCATTATGTAACACGATAACGTAACGTTTTTGTGGAACATCGGGATCGGATGGGCAATGATATACCTCTTGTAAGATTTTAAAACAAATTGGTAAATCACTTTAGTGATACTTCAACAATAAAGGTACAGATATATCGGACAAAGGCATACAAAGAAAAGGAGAACGTACTGAGAAAAGCCCAGTACTTGACCATGAAGTGCTTTATTAATATTAGCTCATCCTTTCGCACAGCGTCTATGCCATTCTAGAACTTAGATGACGGATCCTAAAATACTCACGACTTTGATTTATTTCTCATATCCACAGGTTATTCAAAGCCTTCCCAGCCTCCCAGCAGCTCTTCGAGAAGCTCAAGGACTACACAGACTTCGAAGAGCTTGCCCGGAACAAGAAGATGAAAGCCCATGCTACCAGGGTCATGGCTGCACTCACATCACTGGTAGAGAATATTGACCAACCTGACATCCTTGACGAACTGCTGCGGAATACCTCAGTCACACATTACAGAATGAGAATGCCACCACATTACTTTGAGGTACGTAAGTGAGCATAGGGACGTTGGTTGTGGTGGTGTTGGTGGTGGTGGTACTTGTATATTGGTGGTGGTAGAGTGGTGGTGGCGGCGGAGGTTGTAGTATAGTGGTGGTGCCGGTGGTGGTGACGTTAGTTTTAGTGGTGTTGGTGTCGATGGTGGCCATGGTGACCATGGTGACGGTTGTGGCAGTGTTAATGGTGATGGCAGTGGCGGTGGTGGTAGTGGTAGAGTTGACGGTGGTGGTGTTATTGTTTTTGTTGGTAGTGATGGCAGTAGTTGCGGTGGTGGTAGTGTTGGTGGTGTTGGTGGTGTTGGTGGTATTAATATGGTGGAGGTGTTATTTGTGGTAGTGGTGGTGGTGGTAGTGATGATGGTACTGGTGGTGGTATCTCAATACAATTTTGATGTGACATCAGAAAATGTTCAACTTTGTCAATTTTTAAAACTGCAATCTGCAATTTAATACTTTATTGAGTATCGTGAACCAGCACGGCACTAATGTCCGTCAGCAAGACATTAATCCATATCTGCCCCTCCCGACCCAGGGGTAAATGGGTACTTGGTAATTGTTAGGTTAAAAATAATTGCAGTGCGAGAATTCTCAACTATATATATATATATATATATATATATATATATATATACAAATATATATATATATATATACAAATAATAATAATAATAATATTTAATTTTTATATAGCGCTTAATACAAATGTCTCTAAGCGCTTTACAAATATACTATTACCTATTGAATAATACAAATTATGTTTATCAAGACCATCTAACGAATTTTTCTTTCATTTTTCTTCTGCTTTGAACGAACCCCCACATTCTCTCTCCTTAGGACCTAGGCGGAGTAATAATCGAGGCCCTGGTAGAAAATTTGGGAGATAAATTCACGCCTAAGACGAAAGAAGCATGGCTGATCTACTATGGATACATGTGTAGAATAATGCTGGAAGAAATGGAGGAACTGGAACCTTCGAACGACGATGATTAGAGTCAAGACACAATACTAACTATATCTTTGATGATCAGGTTGATGGTGTATGGATCTGTAAATAACTCCTAACATTTTTTCACATGTGATATAATCAGAGAGTAAAGGATGATTTTTACACTATGAAGTGGTTTATATAATTATTTACTATAAATACAACGTATGGCTGTATATGAACATCATTGATCGTATATATTGGACGCTTATTTCTTGATGGAAACACGTTTTTAGCTCTAATAGGTCAATATTTTATTAATAGAGTAGCAATATCGTATTCAGTTAGTTTACGTCAGGTTGAGTCGACATAATTGCAAAATAATTCAAATAAATCTGTTTAATAGCTTTTCAAATGTGATCAGGGAAAATGTATCGAATTTATTTTTAAGTATACGTAGTTTTAGACAGTTTTGTGCATACAAGACACTGCATAGATGATGATATGACAGATGAACCTCATTCAAACCATTGGAAGGGACAAGCCGGAACGTTCGTAGAATTATGTTACCATTACAATTATCTAAACTATGCTTGGTAATAGGGGGAAAAGAAGTTGTTAATTTGAATTTTTAATGCAGCAATCTTTGATATTTTTCTGTTGAAATAAGATATGAGTAAACAGATATTTACCCCTGATTCGACCGTTTCAGGTGTAGTATGTACAGCACCTTAAAATGGACCAATAACCAACAATAATTCCACTGATGGAATTGCTCATTTTAGGTGATTGTATAGCCAAGCAAAATCTTTACATTTATCATATATGCATCACTCAATATTTTTTTTGCTTGGAATGGTGTTGGTGGTCTTTAAATGATTATTTTTCGATCATAACAAAAACTGATAACACGATTGCAACTGATTAAAAAATATAAAAAAAATAGAAGGTCAATTTTAATACCCTATGGTATATCTCACAGAAATGTTTTTTATTCCCCCCCCCCAGTTGCGATCGTGTTTGATCTTATTTAAACATTTTTTAAAAAAGGTAAACCCCCCTAGTCCAGTCATGACTAAAGTGTTCACGCACCCATTTCGTGATCATCCGTCTCGTTTTCAAGACTGGATGGATGCACGCACCCATGTGCTGGTCATCCGTCTCGTTTTCAAGACTGGATGGATGCATGCACCCTTGTGCTGGTCATCCGTCTCGTTTTCAAGACTGGATGGATGCACGCATCCACGTGGTGGTCATCCGTCTCGTTTTCAAGACTGGATGGATGCACGCATCCAAGGGCTGGTCATCCGTCTCGTTTTCAAGACTGGATGGATGCACGCATCCAAGGGCTGGTCATCCGTCTCGTTTTCAAGACTGGATGGATGCACGCATCCAAGGGCTGGTCATCCGTCTCGTTTTCAAGACTGCCTGGATGCACGTACCTATATGCTGGTCATCTGTCTCGTCTTCGAAACTGGATGGATACACGTATCGTTGGTCATCTGTCTCATCTTCGAGACTGGATGGATACACGCACCATTGTGCTGGTCATCCGTCTCGTTTTCAAGACTGGATGGATGCAAGCATCCTTGTGCTGGTCATCTGTCTCTTCTGAAGTCTGTGAAGCTGAGAGGCCGAAGACCTCATGACCTAATTGATATGAAGTGGTTGAGTGAAGATGAACGATTCCTTTTTAAATGTTATGACGTGTGAACATATGGTGGATTCGTCAGAACCAAGGACTAACTAGGCCTCCCGAGGACAGCCTAATGACATTCTCTATCTCTAGACATTCTTCCCGTCATGATTCGATCCTCGTTAACAAGAGAGCTCGACCTCGTTCAGTGGTTTCATTTTAAGATTCCAAAGGCATTGACAAAAAAAAACGGCTGTACACAATGCATGAAATTTTGAAAAGGGGATACATCAAATTATTATGATTTAGTATTTAATAACCCTTAATCGATGTAAAGAGCATTCGAAAAGAAGATGCAGCCGATTCAATGTATGCATCTACTCATATTGTGGGAATCAGCCGTCTATACCACGTGATAAAGATTAATCTCAGTCAAGTATTGCAGTTTAAGATTAAATCAATTCCCTCATAAAACGAATTATTAGACATTTCCATCACCAGTCCAATAGGTTATTTTTGTTTAATGAGTCGATTTGAGTGAAATATTCGGTACGACGATCAACTAATTCATGTACGTCGAATATCTTGAACTATTTATAGCCTAATAAGACTGCTGATACATTTCCAGGTGCAGAATATAGATGGTGAATATTGATAATGATATGATAACGTGAAACAAATGGAAATTTCGTCTCATCTAGATGGATCTGGAAGTTGTCAAAATGTCATCGCTGAGATGACGTCATAACTCGCAAAGATGATCCCATACTCTGAATACCAGTATGGTTGCATCCTGCAAAACACATCGAAAAAGTCACCCCAAGGCCAGGGTATATGCATGCACAAAAGGGAAGATAATGAATCTAGTCCCGAAGAAAGCAAGTCGATTTATTTTCATGATGTATGTTATATGATTAGAGAGTCATACCTGTGAAAGTACTCGCCCGCCAAACTATGTCGTCATTCCTCGGCTGCCAAACCCATCGGTCTCCTTTCTGTTCCCAGGCAGTGGTATATATAGCGCTCTCTCTAAATAAATCATGATGAGTCTGTATTGGTATGAAGACGGGGTTTGCAGACGTTACGGGATGTCTTACTATGATGTAACCAACCTACTTTCGTTTGACACCCCCACCCTCTGGAATCATATATTTTAATCTTCACAGCCCCCCAATTTAATTAAGATTTCATGATTTCATGGAACACATAATGAATTTATACATGTGTATCAATTGCGGCAAAATTATACAGTGTATTTAAAGGCAGGCTTTACTACTTCAGCCAGAAGGGATTAGACCGCCCAGCGAGCGAGCGAGGTAACTGTGACAGGTGGCTATCTCTTTAACTCATCTCTCATTTAACATAAGAAAAAAGAGGATCATGGGGGACCAACAGGCACCGATTGGGGAAGTTTTCTATATAGAGGGAGCAAGTAGCTACAAGTAGGGCAGTGTGCCTTTAAGATGTGTCTCGCTTTACACAGGTCCCGGGTGGTTCCTCTCCTGTTAAAAGATATTAAAGGCCTATTTTAAAGCCTTCTTCAGGGATTTCATTTCTCAAGTACCTCCAAATAATGCCCCCCCCCCCTCTTTGTCAGAGATTTGAATGCTCGAGATGATTGCTGATAAAGATTAAACAACCCTCAAAATAGACTTTGGGTCACTGTCCCCATTTTCCATCAGGACCTTAGACCTATATTCTACCAACCACCCGATGGATATAAGCGAATGTAATCAGATAACTGGATTGAAATACGTTCCCCATGAGATAACAAGGATTGTGAAATATGTTATATGTATCATCTTATCAAATCAAGACCTTTTTTCTTTCAAGTTAGATTTTATTTGTAAAGGCAATTGTTGTACAGGTGAAATGATAATGTATTATTTACAACATAATTTTTGATATTGTATAATGTACTCAAGATACGTTCCGGACAAGCGTCGCTTTTAAGACGATGGACTGATAAAGATTAAAAGAGTAATGTTACTGCGAAGATTCATATTTGACAATTGTATATCTTTCTGTTCATTCATTTGAATGTATATCTGTATTATATATGTTGTGTATTTGTTTTATTGGCTCTTTACCTTTCTTCAAATTCTGTGATTACGGTTTCATCCGAAAAGATGGTTGTTTTCCCTTAACACAGTAGAATTTCCTGGTGAAAACTTAAACCATCAATAAAAGCCCAAAAGACAGGCGACGAAAGAGAAGAAACACATTTTTTTGTTGATACTTCTTTTTGAAGTCGAACACTAGTTGTTGCCCATTTGTATGCTGTTTTGCGATTCTTGCAATTTGGACACTCTGGGCCGCCCGTAACCATGAAAGTTGGAACAACTCCCTGGTTAGAATAAATGTTTAAGACCATCAAGGGTTTATGTTGAAATCACCTTGGGCTACATGATACTGTTGAATCAGTACCACTCAATACTAAAACATTGTTACGAATATTAAATATTTTTAATTATATACATATTCATAAGTATGTAAATTTACCCTGATGCACATTCATATTAGTCGGTGCATGGGATATTAGATAAAACACCACAGTCATGGGTTAAACTTAGTTGTTTTTTCGTTAATATATTTTGCTGTTTCGAGTATTCGTGTGTTTGTGTGAGATAAGAGGGAAAATCAGTCAAACATCTTTAACCCTCTCATAATAATAACAATAATAATAATAATAATGTTTTTTTTAAATCTAATGGTTAAAAAAATGGTATAATGTAGAGGGACATCGATTCACTTTTCATCTCTTCGTGTGTGTAAGATCACGTGATATGTAGATTTCTTTCATGACTTGTTTACTATGATATAAATGTGAGTAATGTGTATGAAATATAGATTTAAACACATTGATAAAACTTCTATTGTGTTTGTAAATTATGAAGTATGAGGAGTACAAAGCATATAACAGGCATATAGTCAAGATACATACAGAGGTACGGGCATATTGTCCAGTTTGCGGTTACATAACATTTTCCACACGCGAGAAAAACGAGAGCAAAAATTGTTGAAATATTTATAGTAAACATTACCTAAATTCCATATTTAGGCACCTCCCGATCGAACATGAGACTGTTCGACTGTTCCACACGCGAGCAAAACGAGAGCAAAAATTGGTTGAAAAATTTATAGTAAACATTACCTAAATTCCATATTTAGGCACCTCCCGATCGAACATGAGACTGTTCGGGCATCTCCCTGCCCAATGGGTAATTTCATAAATAATTAGGGAACTTTTTTGGGGGGTTTCCCAGTTACATAAGGAACCCACACGTATTTGTGGCTCTAAATAAAGACTCAAATAGTGGAGAGAGATTGTAAAGTGATTTCCTAGCATAATATTGCATCCTCATACCTAGAATTACTTAACAATCTCACTCTGCTATTTAAGTCTTTACTCAGAGACACAAATACGTGTGGGTTCCTTAATATGTAAGTGGGAAGCCAAAAATGTCACAAAGTGGGTCCCTAATTTTTGGAATTACCCACATTCGGGCACACCGGGCCCCAGGCGCGGATCCAGGATTACTAAGGGGGGGGGGGGGGGGGAGGGGGGGGGGGAGGGGGGGGGGGGGGGGGTAGTGAGCACTAATTTTATTATTTTTTTTGGCCCTCGAAAATTTGCACCCCCCCCCCCTTGACCGCCAGGGGGGGGGGGTCTATCTTCCCAAAAAGGTTAAATTAACGTGTTTTTACACGTTTTTTTTCCCGGGGGGGGGGGGGTCGCCCGGGCCCCACGCCCCCCCCCCCTGGATCCGCCACTGCCGGTCCCCGCTGCCCGAATTTGAGGTGGAGGTTGCTCAAAAAATTGAAACGTTTTGAATTTGAAACGTACAAACAAAAACCACAAAGCTTAAACAAAGAATAAGTTATTATTTTTTAACGTGGCAGTTTATGGTTTTGATCTTGCTTTTGTTTCGAAACAAATGATGATTCGGCTGACAAAACCATCGGGCCTAAACTTTGGAAAACTAACAGTTTAGAGGATTTATCTCAACGTGCTTGTAAGTGAACGGCAATGGATCTTGGAGTTATGAACACTTTATTATCTCTAAAAGGTACTTGTACATTGTTTTTAAATGGGCACATAGTTACAATGTGTCCCGACCAATACGCGTACATAATAATGAATAAATCAATTGGACTAAACCTAAATATATATTTCACCCTTTATGTAAGTAGTGTATTTTCTGCTAGCTCCCTTTATTAAATAAAACAACATTGGCTCTGTTAGTGATATAATTTATGTCAAGTATTGTACAGTGTATATTTTGCAAAGTTTACATAATTCCTTAGAAATGTGTACCATCTCCTTTTTCTACCGACTTTGCTGATAAGTGTGAAACATAGAGCACATCTTAGTCACGACCTGTACATGATCCTTTGTAAATCGTGAGGTAAAATAAGTGTGGATTTTATCGAAATAAAATATGTTTATCTTTAAAGACAAAATTGTTTGCGTGTGATTGCTTTAACTAATCGTAAGAGTCGCAAAAGACAGTATATAAGAAGTAACAAAAATAATAATACAGTAATATTTCATAAAGCGCTTAATTTAATTTTTTTTTTACAAGCGCTGTACCATCATTAGCCGGCATTAGTCATTTAGATGTCAAATTCCAAAGTAATGTTAACTTTAATATTAAAGATCACCTGCAGTAAAATATGATATTTATGTTTATGAGAACATATTAAAAGAGAATAAAAACAGTAAAAATCACCGCCAGGTATTCCTATCATTAAAAAAGAAAAAAAAAACTACTTGTTAGCAGCTTAGAATTATTTCTTGTACTCTATCAACTTTAAAGTTAAACATGATTGCAAATACTTAAGAAGAAAAACAAAATGACGTTCAACAGACAATTTAACTAGCCTTGTGCATCACCTATACATTGAATGCGCAGATTACGCAATGACATAATCCAAACATTATTTCACACGAGAATTGCATTTGGTTAATTTCTTGGAAACCCTTTGCGATCATATTACACAAAAAAAATAAAAAATATTTGATTAAATGTCTGCACGTACAGTCAAACCTGTATGTTAAGGCCATCCATAGGAAACAGAGAGAGTAGCCTCTATAGACAGGTAGCCTTTTTAGATGGGTTCTACAACACACACTCGCGCACGCGCGCACTCTCCCCCCCCCCCCCCCCTCTCTCTCTCTCTCTTTATATCCTGCATCCAAAAATTGTTGGCTTTTGATTGGTTGAGAGCTCGTCACATGAGCAGAAGTATTTGAACTATTTTTTAGAAAGTACTATATGAGAGTACTATTTGGGAGTTGAAAAAATTGTGAATTTTTTTTTTAATTGATTTTTTTTTTTTTATGAATCTTATTGAATGAAAACAAAATATTTAAATCTTTTTAGATAAAAATTGAATTTTTTTTGCCAATTTTTTTTTTTTTTTTTTTTTATAAAATATTTTTTTTTGATGCAGGATATAAAACAAATATACCATGCCTCTATTCGAGGTTCTGGTTAAAACTATGGGCCTCGGTGGCTCCAAAAGTACCATTTGTTTCGGGGCTGCGCCCCTCAGCAAAAAGTACTATTGGAGTCACCTCTTGCGCATAGTTTTGACCAGAACCTCTCAAGACAGTGTATATTAGTTAGATAGTCTTCCCCTCCCAACCCCTTTCTTTCTCTCTCTCTCTCTTCTTCCACTTCCCGTCTCTTAACCGATTTCTTTATTTCCCCCTTGCTCTCATAATAATAAAACACTTTATTAGTCTCTCTCTCCCCCTCTCTCTCTCTCGTCCCCTCCCTCTCTTTGTCGCTCCATCTCTTTCGACCTGTGGATGAATAAATGTAAATAAAAATGTAGATAATCGACATACATGTACATGTATGATATATAGTATGTGACAATATAGGCGAGTGTGAGATGAAGAGAGAGAGAGAGAGAGAGAGAGAGAGAGAGAGAGAAAGAGAGAGAGGAAGCCTTAGGGAAGGAGAGAAAAAAAAAGAGAGGGAATATTTAAAGAAAGCTATGAAGTTTAATCTAAAGAGATTAATATAGAAATATAGAGAAGAGTCAGACAGAACAATCAGTGTTGATGTATACAGTAACGGGACATTTGAGCTGATGTCATATTACTTGATTTTATTCAGGGAGGATTAGGCAATGCATGACAATATTTCTATAATTTAAATGACTTTTAACGTATGAAATTCGTTGATAAGATTTTATCCCGCAAATATAGATATATAGATAGATAGATAGTTTATTGGTTTCCACAATATCTCATTTTACAAAGAGTGTAACAACATATTGAAAATGATTATTTTATACTTGTACATACAATGCCGGTACACACTATTCAGAATATTGTCCATTAAGTTTAACTTAAGAGATAAAGTGGCGGAGCCTATGGAAAAGCAGAGCTTGTTGTGGATAGGCTCCTTAAAACTAAAAATGACATAATTAACTCAAGTAAAGTTTATAAAATACAAATACACGCTAAAAGAGGGAAAGGGGGGTTACAGGGATACATGAACCGATACTCACAGTTAACTACAAAAGACAAGGAAAAGGGAAGGGAATATATCTGCAGCTTATTGAAACAATATTAAAATATAGTTTGTTCTCGATATGAGTATATAATAAATATAGTTGGTATGGTCATACAGTTAGTTACTCATTGTAATGAACAAAAGTATACAGTTTGGAGACAAGAATGGTCAGGAATCAGGAATGACAATATGTATTCAAATAATAACTTTTCAATTTTCTTCTGAATACATGTAAACTTACAGACCTTTTAATCACAGAATCGAGAGAATTCCTGAACTTAGGACCTGTATATATTAAGGTGTTTTGAGCAAAGCTTGTTGTCGTTCTAGGAAGGTGATAGGAAAACGCCTGTCGGGTAGAATATTCGTGGACTTGATTTCTTTTCTTAAACAAATAAGATAGTGCCTGGGGTAGTTCGTTGTTATTCAGCTGAAACATGAGGCGGCCTAATTGTAAATTAAAAATATCCCGAACTCTCAGTACTTTTGTATTAAAGAAAAGAGGGCTCGAGTGAGTACGAATAGGTACATTGTAAATTGTTCGTATTGCTCTTTTTTGAACAACCAGGTGAACAACCAGGATTTTGTCCAGTTGAAGTTTCAATGAACTACCCCAGGCAAGAATACCATAGTTCAAGTAGGGCAACATTAAAGTGGAGTACAACATTCGCAATGCATATGATGGGAACATAGGTTTCAGTTTGTATATCACACCTGCATTTCTTGATAGTAATGAACACAAATAATTTGTATGTATTTTCCAGGACATTTTATCATCGATAAACAGGCCAAGAAACTTGGTCGATTTTACTTTCTTAATTTCAACATTGTTGAAATAGATATCTGCAGGTAAATCGGAGATTGAATTGCTAACTAATATGAAATTAGTTTTGTCCAAGTTCAGTGACAGTCTATTCGCAAAAATCCATTGTGCAAAATTCTCAAGTTCCGAATTTACAGTTTCAACAAGAATTTGAGGATTCTGATGAGAATAAAATAATATTATGCTTGAGTCATCTGCGTATAGTATAAATGACAATAGTTGGGATGAAAATTTGAAATAATTTATGTATGTAATGAATAGTAGAGGCCCTAAAAGAGATCCCGAGGAACACCGCACGTGACAGGCTTGACACTCGATGCAATCCCATTTAATGAAACAAACTGTGTACGACTACTGAGGTAGCTTTTGTACCACTCCAGATATATGTGGTAAAGTTAGACGCCCCCACCCACCAAGGCCTGACGGAGATGACAGACAAACATTAAATGTATGGTGTATCAAACTTTATAACCCTTCCTTGCGGGTCGGACAGTACAAATAACATGTCTCCTCAGAAAATACCTCCAATAAGATACAAACAAATGTTAGGTTTCAGTATAACTATAGTTGCATACGAAAGTATATATATATATATATATATATATATATATATATATATATGAACTGAATTTATTTATTCACCACCATTGAAAACATTGGAACAAAAGATAAATGTACAATGACAATGTCAATACAACATAAATATGGGCAATATCTATGAGAGATAAGAGATTGTGAAAAATATCATATACTTAAACGTAATCAAACAAGTTGTCATCTATTCATGACAAGAATAATAATTATGAAATTGATTTGCAATATCAGATGATTGAGTTCAGCCCATTCAGTCCCGGGTGCGCAAGTGTTTGCTTTTGAATCTCCAACACAAGATGCCACGTTCCTGTAAGATAAGGAAGAGGTATATTGGTTATCGAGTCACGACAATCTCGTCTCCATTCCACACTCATTGGTACTCGAGACATTATTCACATCGTAGTGATTCATTGATAACATTATTTCAAATAATTATTTGTCATTTTTTGTTTGAAGAAGCTTTCATCATTAAGTCTCAAAGTAGGCCTACTTACCATTTGTGATCAGGTTTTCTTTTCTTAACCGAAACATTTCAATTAGTGTAGATTACATTTTTATGTAAAAAAGAAAAGGTTTTACTTTCCTAATTTTAGTATAGGTCAATCCATGGGATGTGTCAATTTTGTCGGCATTTGTATTGTTTTTCTCTGCCCACACAATTTCAAAAGAATCCACATAACTTGGCAAAGATGAAAATAATTTTAGATACGGTACGTTCTTGTTGTGGAAGAAAGGAGGGATATTTGATGCTTTACAAAAACAAATCTTGTAACATTGGCAAAATGATTTGGAGTCGTTTGCCCAACTAGATACATGATAGGTCGATGTGCCCAACGGGGCATATTTAAATGGTCATTAATACATATCTTTTGGCAGGGGGGGGGGCAATTTCTTGCTTCGGGCATTAAAATCCCTCGATATTATGCTACAGGGGCATTTGCTTCCCTTCCCCCCACCCTATGGCTATAGTGGTTTAGACCATGCTTTTCGATTATTTTTTAGTGTATAATAGTTTGAAAGATCGTGAATTTAGGGATAAGGCCTACACAAAAAAAGATGTTGTATTGCACTCTATTTTTAAAAACATGGGTTGGTCGGTCGGAATTTTTTCCCCTCCCTCTTGGGGGTGATATTTTTCAGTTTTTAATGCTTTGATTTTTTTTTAAAGGCCGACCGTAGATTTCAAGATGTTTGGGTTGGTCGCAAAGGGCAATATGGTATGCCTGACACTAACATTACGCACGAATATCAGTGGGTCCCGGCCACAGTGACTATATGGTTTGCACGACCCGTGCATGGTTGTCGCACGAGACGCCAGGGCCTAGAATGTAAACTATTTTGATTATTGATTCCTATCGCTCATGAGGACTGAGAGTCATTGAAAGAATGTGATGAGAGTAATACTTACTATCTTTACATACAATTAAATGCATAGTCATCGAAGCATTCTTCGCACAGTGTGCCTTCATATTCGCAAAATTCCTCAGCTACATTCCCCATGTCATCATCACTTGTGAGAGACTCGATATCCAACGCGTTGTCACCTTCATTCGCAGAGTGTATAGCTGCGGCACTCGCCGCGCCTATGAGAGCGAAGAGAAGGAGCAGGGCGGTAATGGTCTTCGATGCCATGATGAGCTCAGCTTAAACGAAAGGGAAAATGATTGTAATGAGCTGCAGCTGTTAGCCTCAAGAATAATCCTTTACAGTTGTCATAATGCAGGCGAAGTTTGATCATTCTATGTTTAGAGTGTGTAATTTTTATTCGTGAAAAATCACCGAAACCTGACGTAAATAAGATTTTTATGTTACAAATATTACAATATGTGATCAAAAGTGCAGTCAACCGTGTCCAATTGCAATTGTTAAGTATTGGGACACAGGGTAAATAGGAACAACGAACTGAAAAGTGTTTTTCGACAAAATAAATGGATATGTTTCAGCGATCGATTGAGCAGAGCTATTCCACGTCTTTCATTTAATCATAACCAAAATGAGGGTCTACATCATCACCGGGAGAAAAGTATATTCAAATCATGTTTCCTCTCATTTTAGTTCCTTTTCATCCACCTTCTATTATTTGACTTTTGATATAACTATTCATAGGTAGGTGGGATTGTCGGTGTAGAAATAGAAGAAGTAAAAATGTCAAGTTTCAACTGGGGTCCTAAGAATTGATTCAGATAATTGGTAAATTTATGGGTATTCTTTAAGATTGATAATATACATGTGATCAAACAGTCAGACTTTAAAAAAAAAGTAAAAAGGCGAGAAGTTCTACAAGAACCAGAACACCAACACCAACAACAACAATATGTTAGAAAACTAAAATAATAAATGAACTTATAGGGAAGAACTTATGTAGCTTGACATGTAATTAAGTGAAACTACATTCTCTAGGTTTGTTTTTCTTTCTCTTTTCCTCAAGTAAGATTTTTATTTCCTTAATTTCAATGATTGAATACAAAAATAACATTTGTTAAAAACTAAAGTATATTCAACAATTCTTCCAGCTTAGTAGTATTTTCTTTGCTGACACATTTATACCTTAAAAACAACCAAAGCAGTTAACGACTTGAATTACAACAACAAAAAGCATGCGGGTAAATAACAGAACCATTGGCAATCTTTTTAACGTAACATTTATAAGTTGCATATTGCGCATAATTCAAAATAATGTTCAGGAACTCTTGTTTGCTTTGTCGTTACCTACAATTAATATCTTTTGGTTTATATTTAGTTCTACTTAAAATGAGTGAAATATCAAATTACATATCATTTTCCAAAACATAATCACATCCTTGCAATATAACATGAAGTGAAACGTTGAATCAACTTGCCCACAGGTTTTGCATAATCGTTCACAATTTACCATTAAATATATACATTTTCTTTTGAGACAATAATCTTGTGAATCGTCTTGAAATAAAGTTGTTTAACTTTATTGTTACGAACATGCTTCATTTTAAATTAAAATACATCCTTCCAAACGAATTCATTATCTAAATCTAGAAAGGAATTCCAAACAAAAATGACAATTGGTTCTCTTGGCTTCTTCCGTATTAATAAACAAAAGTAATATTTCACTTTTATAACAAAAACAGTTACTTTATCCCCTGTTTCTATTTCTATAATATTTGAAATATCATATGCATCTTAAAAGTCATTGACATCTATCTAACTAAAACTGCGGAAAGGCTTTCTTAAACTTTGTACATGTATATTTAAAATCAAATAAGAGCTGTTGTGCGTTCACCTTTTTTTAATTGATTAATGTAAAGTCATTCCAAATACAATTTGTAATCAAATATTAATTTTCAATAAACCGGCATCTTGCCATTCTCGATAAAACCATATTTTTTCTTAAAGTTAATATTATTTTTTTTCCCAATGAATTGTCAACGAATCTTAGTTCTGACCAAGTATCCAAGAAAGATCTACCTAAAATTCTGGCAAATAATGTTTAGAGCATAATAAATTCATATCTTGTATATTATAATTGGACTGTAAACAAAATGATGAATCCCCTAGTATATCTGATCAGTATCTAAACATAGTTTTTCAATTAGAGCCATCATTCACTAGTTACATTCTTATCCAGGAACTCAATTCTAAATATTTATTATTTAAAAAAACATTTGTAGTGTGAAAAACTTAGTGGAAAAGGTTATTGTATGCCAGTAAAATAAAAAGAGTTTCCAATTCGTCCAAGTCTTTCGGGTACAACAAATTTATAAAACTGATTATTTTTTCTATCATACTCACCGTACATAGCCAAAACTGCTAGAATCAGAGACAAATTTCATGTTCAAAGAAATTACATATTTCATTTGATGCTTGATTTGCTGGTCATCCGTCTATTTAAGTTATGCTAACCCAGCTTGATCAATGTTTCCTTTGAAAGGGAACGATACCATTGCTATGGTATACGCTTGCCTTGATTGATTGGGACTATTATTTATAGCTATTGTAGTTTGCAAGTAATAAATGAAATAAGAATTAAAACAAACATTGCACTGTCTACTGCACGCCATAGACTCTGTATTTAAGCTGCTTCTGACAAATCTGATGGACACATCCAAGGATTGGCAGAGCTGGACTCTGCTCAAGGCAAGACGAATTGTGTTCAAGTATCAAATTAAAATTCTTGCTTACCAATAAGCTCCGAGAAGATATATGAATATTTTCAAGTGAAATTTTAAAAGTAGGTTGAATGGAGAAAAAAATGAGGTGAAAAGAAACAAAGAAAAGCCGGATCAACATGATCAGTTTACAATGTTTATTTTCTTTAAAATTCCAAAAGTAATAAAATACCCAAATGGAAACACCTTGTTTTTTAAAAATCTCAATGTATATTTAATCGTAGAGAAATAGCTTACCTTATGGTTTAGATTGGCGACTTATATTAGTTTTCTATCAGAGGAGATGAGAGATCCGACTTGGATGTTGATATTACTCTTGCCTGAATGATAAGCTTCGATCTAGCAGAATAATTTGTGTATCCATACTTTTGACAATCAAAGTTGTAATCAGATTGCAACCACAGCTTTTTGCAACGCGTGCAGTTGATACCCGCACTTTCTTTCTCTACTTAATTTCTAAATTCTCATGCCGTCTGTTCTACACAGTTTTCACATTTATCATTATATTTACCATCTGCCCTTGAAATGTTCTCCGACATAATTGATTTTTTTTTTTTACTGAGAGTACGACCCAAAAGACCTTTTCCTGATATCCCTCTTTTGTAAATACAGTTTTGTAAAATATTGTCACGCCGTCGAGCTCCGATTATGTGACAATGCTTCTTGATGGTTTACTTTCCTTAACGCATTAATGTAATGATTTCACTTTGATAATCAGTTGTATTAGTTGTGTCCTATTTTGTAATTGGTTTATCAAGTAGAATTACAAATAGATTATAAACTATATTAATTAATCAAATCAAATCAATCAGGTCATATCTGTCTTAAAATCTGTGCGCAGGTAGATTATCAACAATATCAATTGGTCCATGTCATGGAATCATGATCCTGAACAATTGGTTGTTTTGAATTTCAATTAAGGTGTACTTAGCCGATTGCTTCAATGCTTCACTCAATGCTAATATACCTGATACTTTGATATCCAAACATTTGAGCAAAGGGGACTTTCGCTGTGCACATCTTTCATTGGAAAATGGATATCTAGTAACCAGTTAAAAAACATCTTACCCCAAATTACTCAAAAAAGAGCTCTTAGCATAATAAAAGATAACCTGAACTGCGTTGCCGAACATACAGAGTGAAAAACAGCCTCATACCATTACTTATACGCATCCACAATTCTAGTAAACACGAAAACATATGTTTTTATATATTGACCGTATTATATATACCCCTGTCTAAATTGTTGTTTTACATGTATGTACATTATCATTACGCTTTCCTCTCTTTTAATTCCAAAAACATAATCACATCCTTGCAATATAACATGAAGTGAAACGTTGAATCAACTTGCCCACAGATTTTGCATAATCGTTCACAATTTACCATTAAATATATACATTTTCTTTTGAGACAATGATCTTGTGAATCGTCTTGAAATAAAGTTGTTTAACTTTATTATTACGAATTTGCTTTATTTTAAAGGAAAATACATCCTTCCAAACGAATTCATTATCTAAATCTAGAAAGGAATTCCAAACAAAAAATGAAAATTGGTTCTCTTGGCTTCTTCCGTACTAACAAACGATAGTAATCTTTCACTTTCATAACGAAAACATTTACTTTATCCCCTGTTTCTATTTCTATAAGATGAGAAATATCTTATGCATCAGAAAAGTGATTGACATCACTTAATCTATCTAACCAACACTGCCTAAATGCTTTTTAAAACTTTATATATTTAAAATCAAATAAGAGCTGTTGTGCGTCGGTTCACTTTTTTAATAATTAATGTAGAGTCATTCCAAATACCATTTGTAATCAAAATATGAATTTTCAATAAACCGGCATCTTGCTATTCTCGATAAAACCATTTTTTTAAAAAGGTAATATTACTTTTTTTCCAATAATTGTCAACGAATCTTAGTTCTGGCCTAATACAAAAAATATCTACCTAAAATTCTGGCAAATAATGTTTAGAGCATAATAAATTCATATCTTTTATATCACAATTGAACTGTAAACTCAGTGGCGAACCCCCTATTATATCTGACCAGTATCTAAACATTTTTTTTCCAATTAGAGCCATCATGCACTAGTTACATTCTAATCCAGGAACTCAATTCTAAATATTTATTATTTAAAATAAAAACATTTGTAGTGTGTAAAATGTGTTATACTTATTTTACGTTTTTGGAAAAGATTATTGTATGCCAGTAAAATAAAAAGAGAATTTTCAATTTGTCCAAGTCTTTCGGGTACAACAAATTTATAAAACTGATTATTTCTTGTATCATTATCACCGTACATAGCCGAAACTGCTAGAATCAGAGACAAATTTCATGTTAAAAAAAATTACATATTTCATTTGATGCTTGATTTGCTGGTCATCCGTCTATTCAAGTTATGCTTACCCAAATCTCGATGTATATTTAATCGTAGAGAAATATTTGTATATAATTACCTTATGGTTTAGATTGGCGACTTATATTAGTTCTCTATCGGAGGAGATGAGAGATCCGACTTGGAGCTGATATCACTCTTGTCTGGATGATAGGCTTCGATCTAGCAGAGTGATGTGTGTATCCATACTTTTGACAATCAAAGTTGTAATCAGATTGCAACCACAGCTTTTTGCAACGTGTCCAGTTGATACCCGCACTTTCTTTCTCTACTTAATTTCTAAATTCTCATGCCGTCTGTTCTACACAGTTTTCACATTTATCATTATATTTACTATCTGCCCTTGAAATCTTCTCCGACATAATTGATTTTTTTTTTACTGAGAGTACGACCCAAAAGTCCTTTTCCTGATATCCCTCTTTAGAAAATACATGTAGTAATTCCTATGTTTTGTAAAAGATTGTCACGCCATCAAGTTCCGATTATGTGACAATGCTTCTTGATGATTTACTTTCCTTAACGCTTTAATGAAATCATTTCACTTTGATAATCAGTCGTATATTAGTTGTGTCCAATTTTGTAATCGCCTAGTAGAATTACAAATAGATTGTATATTAATTAATCAAATTAAATCAATCAGGTCACATCTGTCTCAAGATCTATGTGCAGGTAGATTATCAACGATATCAATTGGTCCATGTCATGGAATCATGATCCTGAACAATTGGTTGTTTTGAATATCAATTAAGGTGTACTTAGCCGATTGCTTCAATGCTTCACTCAATGCTAATATACCTGATACTTTGATATCCAAACATTTGAGCAAAGGGGACTTTCGCTGTGCACATCTTTCATTGGGAAATGGATATCTAGTAACCAGTTAAAAAACATCTTACCCCAAATTACTCAAAAAAGAGCTCTTGGCAACTAGTTTTAGTTTTGAATTTCAATTCTGTACTTAGCCCCAGATTACTAAAAAAAAAAAAGAGTACTTAGCATACTAAGAAATAACCTGAACTACGTTGCCGAACAGAGTGAAAAACATCCTCATACCATTATACGCATCCAGAATTCTAGTAAACACGAAAACATATGTTTTTCTATATTGACCATAATTATACCCCTGTCTAAATTGTTGTTTTACATGTACATTATCATTACGATTTCCTCTCTTTTGATGTCATTCTTTTCACTGTATCTCTCTTTCTGTCTCGGAGCGCCCCTCCCCTTTTCTCTATCTATATTAGAGCTCTCTCACCTGTTCAATCTTACAACCCTCCTTTCTCTCTCTCTCTCTCTCTCTCTCTATTAGTTAAATAGTCTCCCCCTCCCAACCCCCCTCTCTCTCTCTCTCTCTCCCTCCCTCTCTTAGATAAATAATCTCCCCCTTCCAACCCTCCTTTCTCTCTCTTTCTCTCTCTCTCTCTCTCTCTCTCTCTAATAGTTAAATAGTCTCCCCCTCCCAACTCCCCTCTCTCTCTCTCTCTCTCTCTCTCTCTCCCTCTCTTAGATAAATAATCTCCCCCTCCTAACCCCCTTCTCTTTCTCTCTTTCTATCACTCTCTCAGCTTCCACTTCCTGTCTCTTAACCGATCTCTATATTTCCCCTTGCTGTCATAATATTAACACACACTCTCTCTCTCTTTCTCTCTCTATTAATAGTTAATAGTCTCCCCCTCCCAACCCCATCCGCTCTCTCTCTCTTAGTTAAATAATCTCCCCCTCCCAACCCTCTTTTCTCTCTCTCTCTCTCTCTCTCTCTCTCTTTTCCCCCCTTCCCCTCTCCCTCTCTTTCTCGTTCCATCTCTTTCGACCTACTTGATGGATGAAAAAATGGAAATAAAAATGTAGATAATCGACATATATAATTATGTACATGTATAATAGTATGTGAAAATATAGGCGAGCGTGAGATGAAGAGAGAGAGAGGGGGAAGCCTTCGGGAAGGAGAGGGGAAAAGAGTGAATATTAGAAATAAAGCCGTGCAGTAATAATCTATAGAGATAGAAAGATACAGACACGGGACTTTTTAGCTGCTAGATGTCATATTACTTGATTTTATTCAGGGAGGATTAGGCAATGCATAACACTGGATAATATTTCTAATTTAAATGCCCTTTTACGTTTGATATTCGTTGATAAACATTTATCCCGCAAATATAGATATATGTAATAGTTATAGTATATTGTAAAACGCTTAGAGACATTTGTATTAAGCGCTATATAAAAATTAAATATTATTATATACCTCACTTAAGAAATCCAGCCATCTGATTGGTCGAAATTGCATTCATAAACTTCAACTATTCCTGTAAAATTCCCGGTAAAATTCCAAACCCATGTAATAGTTCAAAAAAATAGTTCTAAAATCCCAGTTACCATGGTTACTGGGAAAATAGTTCAGTCTTGGTGAAATACCCATAGGTTCACCTGTTAAAAAATGGTCTGAGCGATCGAGGATAACGTACGTGTGCGATGAATTGGTCGGTAATTTCAATACAATTGAATCTCGATCGATCTTACCGACAATTTTATCTTGCATTGACATGAAGACGAAAATAAACTTCCAAAAACAACATCTGCCGATAGATCTTGATCTAAGTTCGTGCCAATGCATTGCAAAAGTAAAAGAAGAGCCCGTTTAATGGAGCCGCCTGCAAAGCATCCAGCACGCGAAGTCGTTTTCAATCCATTTTAATGTATACATAAGAGAAAACTGCAAATAAGGTATCAGTGCGCGATGGCCGAGCGGTCTAAGGCTGTGATTTAAGTCACATCATCGTTGGTACGCACGAGATCGGATCCCATCTTCGAAAAAAAAAAAAAAAAAAAAAAATTTTTTAGTCTGCTCTCAAAGATACACTCATAAAAAAACAACCGTGCAGACAAACTAGATAAAGGCCAAGATGGTGGCATATAAAAGTATTAATGACTGCTTTAATATTCGAGAAATAGTTGTTTTTATATGCTCTCGGGAAGGTTACAATTGGGCTATTGCCCTCGGTACGCCTCGGGCAATAGCACAATTCTAACCTTCCCTTGAGCGTATGAAAACAACTTTTTCTCTCAAAGCAGTCATTAATACATTTTGAGAGGATTTTGATCGTTTAGTACGAGTATATTGAATTTCCCACATCATTTTCAGTCTTGATGTTGCATTCTTATTTAATTTTGTTTCTTTCCCTAATCTACATGTATGTTCTGTATAGGCCTATACAGTATTATCATCATATTATTGTTATCAATATGCTACGGTTTCAATAATCGCTTATTGTGGTTGATATTCGTTATGTATATCTTATTCTGAACTATTATATGATATTCACTGGTAAAAAAAACATATAAAAAATAAATAAATAAATGTATGATGTATTTAATCTTTATAACCCTTCCTTTGCGAGCCGGAAACTACAAATAACATGTCTCCTAAGAAAATACCTCCAAATAAGATACAAACAAATTATACCGTATAAATATAGTCATATATGAAAGTATATTTCAATGTTTACATTGAACAATGTTTCAATGTTTACATTGGAAATTAGATGTTTTATTTTAAAGAATGTACAACGATTACAATGATTGAAATTTAAATAGTCAATCATACCCTTGGGCAATATCTAAGAGAGATAAGAGATTGTGAAAATAACATATACCTTAATGTAATCAAAGAAGTTGTCATCTACTCATGACAAGAATAATAATTATGAAATTGATTTGCAATATCAGGTGATCGAGTTCAGCCCATTCAGTCCAGGGTGTGAAAGGACGTGTTTGCTTTTGAATCTCCAGCACAAGATGCCACGTTCCTGTAAGATAAGGAAAAAGTATATTGGTTATCGTGTATCGTCAATCTTGTCTCCATTCCATACTCATTGGTACTCACATCGTAGTGATTCATCAATAACATTATTTAAAATAAGTTAATTTTAGCTTTTTTGAAGATGGGCCCGCTCAAGGGGGAGGGTGCGATTTTTCAAAGTTTCGAGGGCCCAAACAAAAATTATGCTCACTACCCCCCCCCCCCCCCCCCCCCACCTATTTATTACTCCATCAGTAAAATTCTCATCATTAAAGTCTCACAACATCGCCATAACACCAACACATCTTTTGTCTCATTGCAAATGTCATTTATGGGTTGATTATCGATTCCTATCGCTCATGAGGACTTAGATTCATTACAAGAACATCATGAGACTAATACTTACTATCTTTATCCCGTGGTAGGACAAGCAGAACAGAATTCCTCAGCTACATTCATCATCATCACTTGTGAGAGACTCGATGTCTAACGCGTTGTCACCTTCATTCTCAGAGTGTATAGCTGCGGCACTCGCCACGCCAATGAGAGCGAAGAGAAGGAGCAGGGCGGTAATGGTCTTCGATGCCATGATGAGCTCACCTTAAACGAAAGGGAAAATGATTGTAATGAGCTCCAACTGTAAGCGTCAAGAATAATTCTTTACGGTTGTCATAATGCAGGCGAAGTTTGGTCATTATAAAATTATGTTTAGAGTGTGTAATTTATATTCGTGAAAAATCACATTTTTATGTTAAAGATATTTCAATATGTGCTCAAAAGTGCAGTTAACCGTGTCCAAGTGCAATAGTTAAGTACTGGGACCAGGCGCGTACGCAGGGGGGGGGGGGGGGGGGGGGGGGGTGGGGGTTGAACCCCCCTTTGGTATTTTTAATGTGTGTATTTTGGAGAAAAACCCCTCCTCTCTCCCCCCCTCCCCCCTTTTGGGATTTTTTTTTTTAATTATCAAAAAAAAAAAAAAAAAAAATAAAATATATATATATATATATATATATATATATACCAACGGCTGACCTAAAAAAGTTGACCTTACCCCCCCCCCTCCCCCACCAACGGAGCAAAATGTCAAATTTCGAGACCAAAAAAAAAGAAGAAAAAAAGTGTCCTCTATTTCTCTTTTCCCCAAGTAAGATTTTTATTTCCTTAAATTCAATGATTGAATTAAAAAAAAGCATTAGCTAAAAATTCAAGTATATTCAAACAAATTCTAGCTTAGTATAATTTTCTTTGCTGACACATTCATACCTTAAAAACAACCAAAGCAGTTAACGACTTGAATTACAACAACAAAAAGCATGCGGGTAA